CCTTGAAGAAAGGGTCTAGAATTTTTTTCAAGGTGATATTCTTGTAGAGCTCGTCGAGCTCTATCGAATGATGTGTGTTTAAAGCAAATCTATCAACTGCTCGAAGTTTGAATTTGGCGCACCTTACACATTGACCCTTTTTTTTGTCCCGCGAGTAAAACGGTGATACAGCTCAGCGAAAATTAATCAGAATTCTGATTGAAAATAGTCAACAGATAGCCCTGCTTTTACCAGTTAATTTAGTAAAACATAAATACAAGATTAAAGCTTCTTTCGTTGTACAAATTGTCGAACGGTTTGCTGACTAGTTTTACATATTTTGCTTCCCTCGTATCTCTGTAATAACTGAAGCTTTAATGCTCATTTTTTTATCCGTTTTTTTACTTATGATTCTCCCCATACACAGTAGTTTTCGCCTCAAAGTATTCTGTAGTTCTTGAGAAAATTGAACTTTACTGCTAGATCCTGAAAAAGTAATGTTTCTGCTTCATTGATGTTGACCTCAATGCTCTAACGAACTGAGACAGATCTAAACGGATTATCTACATCGAGATTTATAACATAATGTGCATAAAGCACTTGTTGGTGGGAACCGGAAACATAAGCAAGAAGAAACTTGAGCACGGAAAGATGAGCAGGGGAAAGTTGAGTACTAGGAAATATGGGCACTAGGAAAATTGGGCATGAGCAAAGTTGAGCAGGCCGAAACTTGAACACGAGGAAAGTTGAGCACTAGGAAACATGAGCACAAATTTACAGTTTATCAATTAAATTTTTTGTATCATGTTGAAAAGATTTAAGAGAAAGTTAATTTAATCAATTTATTTAATATACTGCTGTCGAAAAGTCATCAATATAGGAATTTTAATAGTTTGTTGAAAACAAACAGTTGCAAAAATTTAAAATAGAGTTGCTGACAATTTAATTAATATATTACTAATTGGGATAATTGATGTAAATTCAATATACTATTATATATTCATAACTTTTTTCGCAACTCACTTTCTCATTTTGAAAAACATATGTCTACAGCAACATCTGCATCAGTATCATGTACTACTAAACAAAAACCTCGTCTTGAACTCCAAGGTTTTTCCGATATAAAAGATCGATTTACTGAAAATAAAACATATTGGCGTTGGATATATTATAATTCTCAAAAATGTCATGCCCGTCTTCATACATGTAATATTACCAATAATGTTATAACTCCACCTTGTGTTCATACATGCAAAGGTAATGGTATTACAGATGAACTTCGAAAGTTTAATGAAGATCTTTGGTATCGTACAATGAATACACAGGAAACACCTGATTTAATTATAACACATTGTTGTATCGGAATGTCGGACGAAGCTCGTTTACCATCACATGATAATATTAAACGTCGCATTAGAATGTTACGTCAAGATAAAAAGCTTCCATCAGCCCTAAATGATCCTAATTTTTCAAATGTTCCAACAGCTTTAACTGTAACATCTCGTGGTGATAAATTTTTACGTTGTGATACTGGACCAGGTAATGCCACCATACAATTATGTCTAAGAATTTTTCATTTCATTAATAGAATTGTTGTCTTAATTTTCCTTTTCAACAGGACCAGATCGAATGTTAATATTTGCCAGTTCTGAATAATTTGATATTTTACAATCATGTGATGATTTTCTCGTTGATGGTACATTTAAAGTATGTATAGAAGTAGATATTTGTTGGGTTTCAGCGGAAATTAGTTGAGTGAAGTAAAGTACATATTCCTATGTTTAGGTTGTACCTGAGACTTTTTATCAATTATATGTTGTACATGCCATCTATCGTGGACATGTTGTAGCAGTTGTCTATTTCTTACTCAGTCGTAAAAATAGTGATACATATCAACGTCTTATAGATGAAATAGTAGAATTTGCTCCATGCTGATTTCCTGGTTCTATCTTACTTGATTTCGAAAAGGCATGTATTAATGTATATGACAGTAGTTTTGTTAATATATCATTATCTGGCTGTTATTTCTGTTTTCGTCAAAATCTTCGTCGACAACTTCAGGTAACATTGAAGTAATTTAGTATAAAAATACGTTCGAATAGAATATGTTCGCTCTTCAATGTATAACTTTTCTTTTTTGTATATTAGACATTAGGTTATCAGAATCGTTATCAAGAAGATTGCTCATAATATTAATAAAATAGTTGCGTTAACTTTTATTCCACCTTGTGATATTTTACAAGCATATTCACGTCTTGCATTAGATCTTGATGATGATTACCAAGATATTTTAAATTATTTTGAGGATACATATATAGGACGACTTCGTCCTAACAATACACGACGTTAACCAACATTTAGTATTGAATTTTGGAATATGCATACAAGGACAACACAATTATTCATGCGTACAAATAATTCTGTAGAAGCATGGCATCATCGTATAGGATGTGTATTTCAATGCGTACATCCTACGCTTTGGTCATTTTTACAAAAACCAATTCATGAAGAACATGCAACACATGCTGATATAGTTCATATAAATAGTGGTGAAGCACCAAAACATAGAAGTAAAACAAATGAACGGTTTGAACGACGTCCATTAAATTTTTTATTGCATCCACATGATGATATTCTTGTGCAACTAAATAATATTGCACATAATATTTGGTTTAAGCTTTAATCTTGAACCAGAACGAAATCGAGAATATAAATTCCCATTATATCATTCTGAAACTTAAACTATCAAAACACAAAATCAATCCTTGCACGAAGCTAGGATCGAACACACG